CCCCCAACACGCGCCGTACTGTACTACACATGAGCCGGACCGCCCCCTGCGCCGCCCCCCGCGCCGCCCCCCGAACAGCAGCGACCACGGCAAAGCCATACCACTCGTGGCAGATTGCGGCGTAAGGTAAGGAGCAAGCCCCGGGACGGGATCCACCTTCAGGTGGTCCTCGTTGCTGCTGCAGTGAGGTATGCGGAGCGGGGTGGACAGGCTGGCGGCCGGGTCCAGGAGGGTGTGTAGGCTCGCGGAGCTGTTGCCGCTGCTCCCCCGTGTAACGCGTCCCTTTCCCTCCTTCTTCTCTCGCCCGAAGAGGTAACGACCGATCCTATAGCGGCGGCGGCGGCGTCTACTCCGTGGCCATTAGGTGCGGTCTGATGGTTGCTGCTGCAAGGGCCTGGGCGTCGGGCCCGCGGCCCCGCCCCTAGCGTCCTCACCCCCCTCCCCTCTCCTACGTCGTCAGCTCTCTCGTCCTCTCCCCGCGGTGGCAGTAGCAACCACTGCTACTACTGCTGCTACCGCTACTGCTTTACTACGGCCGATGCTGCTGCAGCAGTCGACGCCAAAAATTCACATCTCCACATTCAGGTCAACGCGTCGGTCGTGGAGCTGGCGGCGGCGTCCCGCTCGCCCGCAAAAGGTCGGCCGTGAGCCCGGGTGCATTAGCACGTAGCATGGCGAGTGTGTTCTGTGGAGTGTGCACTGTAAAGTGCACACGAGCATGTCTGTTTGGATGTGTGAGTATTTGTGTGTACGCGCGCCTGTGTGAGAGCGAGTGTGTATTCGCCAGGGTAAGTGGCTGGCTGAAATGTCAAACGCCGGGTAGAGAAGTGCACACACACATGTATCTAGTTGAACGCTCCAAGTACGCACACAGGCAACTAAACTACTGTGCTCGCTTCGCCATGCTTGGAACAACGCCGGCGGGGAGCTGTCGCAGACTGGCCCCACCTGGCCTACCGAGATCTGTTTGTAAACTCCACTAAAATCAAAATGACGTGTCAAGGTAAAGGAAGGAGATATACGCCAGGCCACGTCTCGCGTAACGGGCTTCGCGATAAATCACGAAACACTGTTACGCTTTGACGTGCTTAACCCACATCTACTGCATGCACTGCACATCTGCGGCCGCACATACGCCCAGAAGAATTTAGTACCTGGCGTCAGGAACGCATTTATCGAAACCACAGATCAAAAGACTAAATCGATACGATAAAGGCCATATTTTCGTGTTGGTGACTGATCATGTGCCAGTTTGGGAATTTAAAAGACTCGATATTCCTGCCTTAGGGGGGGGGGGCATGGGGTATTAAAAGGTGTTGCTGGCGTGGCTTTGGCCGGGCCCCGACACGCCTCACCAGCCACCCGCCCGGCCCCGCCCCACATAACTTCTCGCCTCATAAAACACGCTTACCCCGGTCCGCCCCACCCCTTCCCTTCCCGTCACTTCCCGCTCCCAGACGCGGAGCCAGCGCTTGCCAGAGAGCGCGCGAACGACCAAAGTCTTAACATCGAAAAATACTTGAGAGAACATTTTTGAGTGATTTTACGACTTCAACTATTGTACGCGCGAAAAGGGCGCCCCGCTTAATTTATGCAGCGTGGACTGGACCAGTCATAGTTCGAGCGCTGGGAGGGGGGAGGGGGTAGGGAAATCGGGTCAGTGGCCCCGTCTGCAGCCAGTATGGGAGAATTAGGCGGGGGGAGCTCGAGTAA